GGAACTGATGTCTTTGAATTATAAGATTGGTGAAGAATATTGAATACACAATGGACTTCAAGAAGAACAGACCAATATGTCTTTGAAGAAGAACAGCTAGAATGTTTCTGAGAAGCGAGAAAGGCAAAATTTTATTATATTTTGAGTAGAACATCAGGAGGTACCAGCCCCTGGAAAAGAGCATCACATCAGCAAAAAAGAGGAAGATCTTCAACAAGATAGGCTGACACAGTGGCTGCGCCAATCGGCTCAAACATAACAAGAATTGTGAGGATGGCGCTAGACTGGACAGCTTTGAATTGTTGTACATACAGTCAGTATGTGTCAGAATTAATTAATCAGGACATCTAACATTGCCAACAAAAACAACCACCACCCTCTAACCTACATGCATATTTCTTATAAACCTATTTGAGCCCCACAGGTATACCCATACACAGGGATAGCAGGAAAGCTACACAATATCTAGGAACACACAGCACTTGCTAGATTGATGAAGACAGATTTCATGATACTCCTTGGGCTTGACATATTTTTGAAAACAATTATTTGAGGTATAACATGCGACTCTCACTTTGTAAACCAATACCAAGACCCCAAAGCCCTGAATAATTTTGGGGAAGTGGATTAGTGCTGTCTCTGAATATTCCCTTCAGAAAACAGTGGTGAGAAGGAGACATAATGACTACTGACTGAGAACAACTGCTTCTTTCAATCCAGCTTGAGACTCTTCAGGGAAAACTCTCATCTTTATAACTCTGTCTATTAGGCAAACACTGAAAACTGCCGCCTGCTTTTTTATTCCCTTTCTTTTTTTCTGATAATGTCAGGGAAAATAAGCAGGCTGATGTAATACTGAAGATGGAACGAATATCCAGAGCCTCATTATCCATTACGGGAAGATTCCTCCTCCTCGCTCCTTCCACTCCAGCTATTGCTAAACAGAAGACAGCAGGCGAAGACTGGATTCTGAATTACCTTCACGTGGACTGACTAAACAAGGCTGAAAAACAGTTTCAATAGAAGAGGGAAAGCCTGCAAAACCAGAATGAACATAAATGACTTTAGGAAACAGTGCCATACTATATTTTGAGATAATATTCAGTATTTATCTGGAGTGTCTATTTTATAATGGGGTGAAATAGAGAATTTCCTGAGACTTGGAGATTATAATCATCAGAGAGACTCTTGAGTGGCACTTGGGTTAAATTGTAAAGAATGATGTATAGCATCATCTACCTATTCCTAGACAGCAAAAGAATTATTATCAGGGAAATTATACTTGGAGGTCAGTAAGCTAAACGACAAGAAGATGGTCTGCACCAATAATTTAAATGCCCAGAGGCACCAGGCCAATGCGTTTTTGGTGCCAAGAAGGTACACAGGCATAAATCCGGCAGTGGCACTGAAGTAATTACGGGCTTAGACCAAATCTCAAAGCCAGGTCGGAAGTTGAACACTGGTCCTTATGGGAAAAGAATGAGTATGAAGGTAATTAGAATGGAAAAAAAAATAGGCTGAGAGAAGATATTTCATATTAAAAAAAATAGTCCTAAAACTCTAAATAAAACTCAGTGTCTGCACAGGGACTCTGAGTCCTCAAACATGCATAAAACAGGGCTGAGGCAGGAAAGGGCCACACACATCTTTATAAGCTCCGTTTCAGAGTGGAGCTGCACGTGCGCAGCAGAGTGTGACTCCCCTCCCAGGAGTCCAGGCCAGGAAGAGCCCAGAGCGCCCACCATGTGACTTATGAGCATCCAGGACAAGGATCTCGGGAGGGAATTTCACAAGCACAGAACATATTTTCTTCTCCCTTGACTCTGCTTTCGAGTTTTTCTCTCCCTCTGCTATTGTTTAATTTTGTGGCTCAACTTTTTGAAAGATGGTGGGAGGTAATGAGTTAGCAATGCTGGAAGAATGAGGCTCAGCTGCGATAATTGCATTATGGAAACTGGCCGCCCACATCTTTCAAACCAACTGTGATTCCAGTTAACACAGAGCAAGAAAGAAACCTGGGCGAGGGCAGGTAGCAAGGCTTTGTCTTTGTTACGTACGGCATCTGTGCCTAGCGCACAGCAGACACACAATGGCTAGCGAATTAAACTGGTCATTTTATCTAAAGAGCCCTCGAATCTGTTTGTAAAGGGAATCCAACAGGCATGTCATTCATGTGGCTCCGAGCAATCTTTTGCTTCTCCTTATGATCCCAATTAGTAAAAATGACTAAACAAGCAAGTCTGGCACAAAATTATCCTGAATGGAAGAGTGTCAGAGATGAACAGGACTGAGACACACTATCAAGAGATTTGCAAAGAGCCGTGGAAAGTGACTGCAAACGCAGATCTGAAAAAGCCCAAGGACACCAAAGGGCAAATAAGAATGCTGAGATGAGATTATTTCCAACTTGGCCCTCACGATTTTAAGCAAAGGGCTCGATTATTATTAATAGTAGACATCTGGACAGTATTTTGACCAAGGGCTTTAAAGTAATATTGTTTTCTTAATATATGACACAGAAAAGAAAAAGAAATGATATAACTAGGATAATTGGATTCCTAGGGATAATAAGCAACTCTTAATTCTCTGAGTATGACATAATTCTGTAGGCTGAAATCATGCTTATAAAGGCACTGAGTATGGTTTAAGTTATTTTGGGGAAGCATATGTCAACTGAAATTCAGAAAAAAATATTGAAGTGTAGCTTTATAGTTTGGAGAAATGTGTATCTATCTATCTATCTATAATGTGCGTGTGTGTGTGTGTGTGTGTGTAAGAGATATAGTGATAAACCCATATATAGATATATATATATATATTTAGGTAATGATGTTACAAGCCTTTGAGTTGCCTATGACTCATATGGAACTTATGTATAATAGCTCTAAACCCTGCTCTATCCTGAGACAAACTTATTGTCTCTGACACACCTACCCCATTACCCAAGTCATTGTGTCTATCCGTCTCATCTAGGGTCTTCCTTTTTGACAAAGAGGGCTATAAAAAGAGTAAGATTCCTTTATTAGTAAGTGTCTCCTTTGATAAAATAATAAAAGCAAGTAGAAATTTCTAAAGATACAGATAAAAGTCTAGATTCTGAGAAGCTTTGCTAGCATTTCCTCTCCTAGGAAGAGATAGTAGTGTAAGTGGCTAGACTGGACCTGGCCTGGCTACCGGTAAGATTAATTAAATGGAGGGCAAAAAAGAAAATTCTTTTTCCTTCAAGGTGCCTGGAAGGGAAGGGACTGGAACAGTTAGGAATAAAACACATCATTTAAACAAAGTAGACCAAAAAAAAAAAAAAAAAGACAATTCTCTGACAAGAAATTCATAAAGAATTGGTGCTAAATAGTTGACAGAAATTTGATTTTATGGATTAGACCTTTATAATGTAAAACAGGTTTCAATTTAGGATACTGGTTATGCTATAGAGTGGGGGTTGAAGGACAGTACAGTCAATTCTTAATCAGGGGGCAAATGCTCTCCTATGTGGGAAAGAGGGGACTCATGGTGCACAGGCCACAGAGAGCTGTGCTGTTAACACAGAGGTGGAGCCTCTCCAGTGGAGCGAATCCACCAGGGGTGCTGCAGGAGAATGATGAGCAATCTCTTCCTGTGTGATTTACAGCCTCAGAAACTCATGAGAGGGTCAACTACGAGTTAGTTCCAAGTTGACAGTAATGAGTAGGAGAAGGTAGGCATGTGGGAAATGATGGGAGTTACTGCCTCTAATCACCTCATTCCCAGAGTCAGTCCTACTTTGATTCAAAGCAGAATCAAAGACCTATGCGTAGAAAACAAAATTTCCTGTTTGAGTCAGCTTCCCCTCACTGTGTGAGCCTGTGTGTGTCAGAGTACACCTGTGCTCCATAAGTTTGTTCAATGGCTAACCTTTTTGGCAAATAAACTGCCACACCTTTCTTCCATGTGCCTTTGGTTAGAGTTGGACCTCAAACTTTTCAGAGAGCAGCCAAGTTGTTAATCGTATTGCACCACCCAGTAACTTCAGGGAAAACATCAAACCCCAAACCCACTGCCATCAAGGTGACCTTCCTCTGGTTTTCCCAGGCTGTACATCTATGGGAGGAGACTGTCCTTCCTTCTCCCAGGGAGTGGCTGGTGCATTCAAACTGCTGACCTTTCAGTTAGTGGCCTGACATATTACATGCTATGTCATGAAGGATTCTTATTTGTAGAAAACAGAACTCTTAAAAATTCCTTATCTGCATTTTCATTTAAGGTTATTAATTTTCTAAAAATAAATCATAACCCTTAAAATAACACAATTCTAAAAAGAAATGCAGACACAGAATGTAATTTAAACACAGAAAAAGGCAAGAAGACTGTAAATTCAAAGTTGTCGTTGATGTTAGATGCTGTCAAGTCATACACGATTTGAAGTGTGAACAATAAGAATTACTATTTGCTAGGCCTCTTGTTATACCATCAGGTTGGAACTGACCCATAGCTGACTCTCCAGTGGGTTTTCAGAGGCAGTAATCGCACAGAAGGAGATTGCCCAGGCTTTTCCTGTCGAGAAGCTGGTAGATTAGAACTGTGTGCCTTTGGGATTGTGGTGCAGATTCTTACCACGAGGCCACCAGACTTCCTAATATAACAATATTCTACTAACACATTTTACTCGAGTTTGTCAACAGTGGGGTCTTGGGTCAGTGAATTTCTAACCTGGTCTTTACAAATTCTACATGGAGGACCTTCAAGGAATTATTCAAAACCAGGAATTCAGATATGGAGGAGTTGGGGAAAGAGTAGACAGATAATGAACACTGCATTAAAAGAGATCAGGGGAAGAACTGTATAAAAAGAAGATATAATTAGGCATTATTTGTATGACAACAATCTGAAACAATGGGTACACTGTGGGGTAGGGTGGAGGAGTGGGAAGGGGGAAGAAAATATTCAACAATGAAAATCTCAAGAATTTAGGACTGAGTGACCCTTCGCTGAAGACTAAAAATATTAAGAGATGAATAACTCACCTGCAGCAAATGACAGCTTTGCACGACAAGGCCAAGTCCAGGAAATACTGACGTACTCCGAAGGTTAAGGCATACTTGAGGGTTTTCCCATCAATTATAAGGGCAAAGTCATTCTCTTTCCGGAGAGCATCACCGAGCGTAGTGCAGTGGTGACTCAAGGTTTCCCTTGTTCCCTGTAAATTAATCGCAGAAAGCCACTCAAATGGATTATTCTATCTTTTAAGATGACTCATGGGTGTTCAGTAACAGCACTCATTTATTCTTACTGCTTTATGCAATTCAGATTGCCTTCACAGTATCTCTACTCAATTGCTTCTTGCAGAAGATTGGGTGAATGTTATCAGAAGTTATTCCCTTGAAAGCACACAACTGTTCCTGGCAGGACCAGGTTTACACCGTAAGTCATCCATTCCTGTTAGCTCCCATCACCCACCATCGTAGCTCCTAGCTCTAACCACACAACCACAACACTGCAAACGATTTTCAGTATCATGTTATTATGCCAATGTTATGGCTTATTCACTCACTCACTCGCTCGCTGCCACTGAGCCAGAACAGCTCATAGCTGACCTGCCTCTACATTTCCAGCGGCTGCAAATCACTCAGCCACACAGAGGAGACTACTCATTTTTCTCCCATAGAGCAGCTGGTGGATTCAAACCACTCACCTTTGGGTTGGCAGTCCAATTCTCTACCGACTAGGGCCCTAGAGCTCCATAGATATTAACTAGTGAAAACTGCTTAACCATGGACTAAATAAAAAGTTAAAGAACATAATTCAAATAATTTATATATTTGTTGTTATGTGCCGTCAAGTCGCTTGCAACTCATAGTGACCCTATGTACAAAAGCCCTAAACTCCGCTCTGTCCTGTGCCAATCGCAATGTCTCTGACAATCTCATCCCAATTATCCCAGTCACTGACTCAATCCACCTCATAGAGGGCCTTCCTCTCCTGCGCTGTCCCTCCACCCTCCCAAGCATGATGTCCCTCTCTAAGGACCTGTCTCTCCTCACAGCATGTCCGAAGTATGTTAGACGGAGCCTCAGAATCCTTGCCTCCAAGGATCCACCCGGTTTAACCCTTTCCAGGACAAATCTGTTTGTTTTCATAGCAGTCCATGGTATTCTCAGTACTCTTCTCCAGCACCACAGCTCAAAGGCAATTCTCCTTCTATCCTCCTTGGTCACTGTCCAACTCTCTGATGCATAACAAGTGATTGCGAAGACCATGACCTGTATCAGACATACCTTAGTCTCCAGAGAGACACCATTGCTCTATATTGTTTCAAAAATACTCAATGCTATTCTCAGTAACCAAGAAAACAAAAGTGCCATATCTGTAATCTCTTGCCACTGTTACGAATTGCCTTCTACAACTTTAGTCATAATTTCATGATGCTGTGTTTTTGTTGAAAATGGTGATGTATGGTCAAACAAAAGGCACCTTCCCTTTCCACCAATGAACAGTTTGCTTTCTGACTGATAAGGTATGTGAGTGCACACACACATACACAGCGGCATATATATATATATATATATATATATATACACACAGTGTCAAGGAAAGCTTAGTTCATCTCAAATGCACAAAGCTATTCATTTCCTTTCCTTTGTGAAGACTACTTTCCCAGATTTCCAAAGACAAAGGTTTCTAGATGTTTATCTTTTCTCCCCAAATCCTGTATGTTCTTCCTATAACGTGGTGAAAAACATCTCCTCTTTTACAGATGCCCCAATGCTGCACACAAAAATACAGGCCATGATTGCTCTTTGATTAGATTTTCTGCAAACTTTTTTTTTGGTATGTGATTTTATTTCAGATTGGTTTGCATACAAGACTTGCTTACACTGTGTTTCACTCCTGTACACTGTGCTTCATGCATTCCTTCACTCATGCTGTGTTTCATACAATCATTTATATACACTGTGTTTTATAAAATCAATTACCACTGATCGATGCCTACCATTACCTTGTCTTTTAAGGTCCACACTGGATCTTTCCCATCCTTCACCCCTCCTCCAACCTACCCACCAAAATTGGCTATCCTTGTGATTTTCCTCCTCCTCATTTTTTATCCCCTTTACTCCACTCACCTCCCAAATTTTGCATTTTACACATACCTTACTTATCTTTCTATTTTGTTTTTTAAGTGCAGATATCTGAGTCTGCATTTTTTGATATAATAAGGATATACATCTGTTTATAGAACATATATTTACAAAACACAAATGTATTATTCATACAGCAAATAAATCTATAATGTCTATGACATTTTAGATAATATTTTTATTACATTCATAGGATTACAGTTCCAGGTTGAGAACATGATTATCAAGTTGCAGTTATTTTTTACAGAGGGAAGCAAAGGCATTGGCAGTTAAATTTTTATACCAGAGAATTTTAAAGGTGTTTCTGCATTTGTACTAAAATGTGGTTATAACTATGTTCTGGAAATTTCAGAACATGTTTATCAAAACAATAAAACTATGCTGAACTATTAAGTCAGCCCGCTCAATGTCTCCCACAGTGAAACTTGACTTAACACTCCCCCAGCTCCCCATTATACACCTAGTGATATGAAGAACCAACTTATAGCAGCATTTTTCACAAAATTTTCAGTTCACACCTCACATCAGAGTTGAGGGTGGGGATTAGGTGTTCTAATTTATGGGTCTCACTCATTTATTTGCTGCTAAAAATTTTTGGACCAAGACGACTGATGAAAGAGGTGAAAAGGTCAGCAAGGTTCTGTGAGCACAGCCTACCAACAAGGACTACCTTAAAATCAAATTTATATAAACAAAATCAATGGATGAATAGGTAATCACTGATCTGATTTTAAAAAAGAAAATGACCTAGTAGCATATTACATTTAATATACACTGGGCACAGCTCCAAAGGTCCCTACCTGTATAGCTCTGGCTTGGTATAGGAGATCAGGAGAAGTACTGTACTGGGCAAGTCTGCTGTCACGGACTTCTCCAAATTATTCAGGAGCAATGATATCAGATTGAAGACAAAGGTGTGCCTGATTCAGGCCATGGTCTTTTTAATCATATGTTATGCATCTGAAAACTGGTCAATGAATGATGATGACAGAAGACGAATCGATGCCTTTGGACAGTGGTGTTGGAGAAGAGTATTGAATATCCTATGGACCGTCAAAAGAACAAAGACTTATGTCTTGGAGAACGTGTAGCTCAGAATGCTCCCTGGAGGCAAGGATGACAAAGCTTCTCACATACTCTGGGTATGTTGCTAGGAGATGCTATTCCTTGGAAAGGGGTATATCATGCTTGGGAAGGTGGAGGGCCAGTGAAGGATAGGAAGACCCTTAATGAAATGGACTGACACAGTGACTGCAGCAATGGCCTCAGGTGTGGCAGGGATGATGAGGACGGCATAGCGTAGGAAAGGCTTTGGGAGCTACCGCTCAAAGAGTCACTGTGAGTCATACTCAACGTGACAGTACCTAACAACAACAATAACTACCCTACTGCCCTCACCAAGATAGACTTACACAGTGATTATAACAAGGGCTGGAACGTGCTGCAGATTGTGAGGATGCCACAACAACAACAACTATCCTAGTCATAGGGAACTGTGGCATTTAGTTCATCAGGAAGGCATTGTGGTACCTCTCTGGGAATTCAAATCTACCAGGGGCACTGAGGGAGTATGATGAAAATATTCCTTCTGTGAGATTTATACACACATCTATTTTGTTGTTGCTGTTAAGTGCTGTGGAGTCATAGCAACACTATGAACGAAATACCTGGACACTTGTCTCACTTTCATCCTTTCTCCAGGTTCCCAGGATTTCTGGAGGCAAGCTATTATGGAAGTGGATGCCACTCCTGCTTCCAAGCTTGTTTTAATCGGGAAGCTCCATGAAACACTGTCCACCATGGGTAACCATTCTCGCATTTGACACATCAGTGTCACAGTGTTTGGCTTCACAGCAACCACAAGGTACTTCTGTACAGAAAGTGGACATACCAGGATTACACGACCTAGAAGAATGTTTGACCAAAAACAATTAAAAACAGCCCACAAGCCATCGTCTCATCAAGGAGATTTTAAAGTTATATCCTTGAGCAGGCCTTGGCCTCTGGCCCCAGTCAGAACAGCAACACAAAACAAATGGACCCCAGAAACTTCTGTTGCCTGACTGCCACCAAAGTGAAACCATCACTGTGGTCTCACACACATATAGACAGGAAGAATTTATTCAGAATTCTGGGTGGTGCTAATAAAAATGTTGGAGGTTTGAATCACCCAGAAACACCACTTCGGAAGTGAGTCCATGGAAACCCTTTAGAGCTCAGTTCTACATTCTGACCTCCACACGGTCACCAAGAGTTGGAGTCACCTTGACGGCAGCTGGTTATCAGCACAACCATGTGCAGGACGTTCTCCTGCTGTCCTCACTGTTCAGATGAGAACAATAACAAAGGAAGCTCCTTGCTCAGGAATATACACTTACTAAGAACTAAAATCAAACTCAGAAATAAACTTCTGTGCTATCTTCTTCTTCTCCTCGATATGATTTCATCTTAAAAATTCAGAAATTAAATTTGAGAGCACCAGGCACAGCGAGTTAGAACTGGAATGCCCACCCCGTTTCCTCTGTGGTTTCCCTGGAGTCTTCATCATCTGTCTTTTATCTCATCTTTACCGTGAACAGAGACTTCTCTCATAAACCATTGGAAACATAAATATGCCACTTTTTGTTTTAAATTCTATAGCTTGCCACTACACGGTAAAGTCTAAATTCCTTAAAATGGCACTGAATTTTTTTCTACCAAACCAAATCCACCTTTCCTTCATATTTCCCTATTTCCCAACTACTCAATGCATTCCACTATCTGGATTTCAATATCTTCCTCTTTCTAGAATGTTCTCCACACCAGAGAAACCTCTATTCTCCTTTGAAAATCAAGTTTACCTTTCTCTATGCTGGCAAAGCCCTCAGTTCTTTAAAAGAAAAGAACTACCTAATCAGTTTCCCATTAACAAACAGCAATTGCTCATTATAGATGAGCCAGAAATACAGCCTTATTGTATGTGTGCACTGATACATTCAGGTTTTAATCATAGACACCTCATCTTCTCTATTGTCTTTTACAAACTTGCCAAAAGTGAGGGGGATTTAAAAGAAAAAAAAAA